AGGGCTGAAATATTACCTGCTTCCACAGTACCCTTACAGTGGGGACGAAGAGGAACTTAGATATTGCTTCGCAGGCAGGATTTGGGGACAGAGTAAAGAAGAAGAACGAGGACAAAAATCAGGAGTTCCAGGCAAAGAACTAGAACCAGCAGTAAAGAGAAAGAAGAAACAAAGCACTACAAAAAAAAAGTAAAACAAAGCAAACCTGGGTGCATGAATAAAAACAAATCAAAAATAAATAGCGAAGCCCACCAGGGAAGATGGTGCGATCATGCGTTTTGTGCAATTCCGTTCACCGGAAAATTGCCTGCTAATGATTTTCACTGCCTCGCCGAAAATTTTACGGGGCCTACATGATACTCCGACGCGCAGGAAGCTGAATTTAAAATTGGAAGGTTGTATGTGGACAAAAGAATTACCATAAAATCTAGCTTATAGCTTTTGTGGCTCCCGAGACAATAATTTTCTCGCCAAAATTTTCACCAAAATTTCCGCGGGGCTGTGGGTGATATCCAAGAGCGTAAGAACGCTGAATTTGAATTTGTGAGGTTATACGTAAGCAGGGGGTCATTACTCCAAAATCTTAGCTTTCTGGATTCCCTGGTCACTGAGATAATTTACCCGCCAAAAGTTTCGCTGAGTCGTATATGTTACCTGTGGGCACGAAAAGGCTGAATTTAAATTTTCTAGGTTACACGTGGGCAAGGAACATACCCATAAAATCTCAGCTTCCTGGATTCCGTAGTTCCCAAGATAATAATTTACCCGACAAAACTTTCACGGGGCCGTAGGTGATATCCGAAAGCGCGGGAACGCTGAATTTGAGCGGGCAAGGCCGAGTGTGGGCAGGGGGTTATTACACTTAAATTTCAGCTTCCTAGACTTCGTGGTTCCTGAGATAATAATTACGCCTCAAAAATTTTCACGGAGCCGTATATGTTACCCGCTGGCAGGGGAAAGCTGAATTTAAATTTTCTGGGTAGCACATGAGTGGGGGACATGCCCACAAAATTTCAGCCTCCTAGCTTCCGTGGTTCTCGCGATAATAATTTTACTCGCCCAAACTTTTGCGGGGCCGTACGTGTTACCCGCGAGTACGGGGAGGCTGGATTTAAATTTGCGGGGTCACACGTGGGTGGGGAACGTTCCCCTAAATTTTCAGCTTCCTAGCTTTTCTCCCGAGTTGAAAGTTGCGGTGGGGAACGTTACCCTAAATTTTCAGCTTCCTAGCTTTTGTGGTTCCCGAGTTGAAAGTTGCGGACCAAGTTGCTGCGGACACACACACACACACACAAACACACAACACAGACATTCGAGTTGAAAGTTGCAGACAAGTTGCTGCGGACACACACACACACACACACACACACACACACACACGGAGTTGAAAGTTGCGGACAAGTTGCTGCGGACGCACACACACACAAACACACACAGACACCTCCGTGACAATATGCGTCTTGTACTGCTGTTACACAGCATAAAACGCATAAAAAACTGGGTTTATGCGAGTGGAAATTGTGCCATAAAAAACCCATTGTCCTATAAGGGCTTCCCAATTCACGAAGCTGCTGCTTAGGCAAAGCTAAGAGCAAATAAGGTAAAGCTGCGCAGTAAAGCTGAAAGCTCGCAGCTTCACCTAAGCGTCAACTTTATAAATAGAAAAGCCCACCACTGCAGACGGACTTTTCTAACACAATTTCCAATCGCATAAGCTCGGTTTTTACTTGCTTTTATTTTGTTCAGCTTTTATTAATCGGTTTTGATTCTATGATTTCGTTTTTTATGCGTTTTTTGCAGTTATGCAATGCAGAAGACGCATATTGACGAGGGGTTGTGTGTGTGTGTGTGCCCCCGTGTGTGCGTCTGTCACGGTTTTTCATCTCAAGACGTAAAAAAGCTACAGGGCTGAAACTTTGGGAATTTAATCTACAGACACGTACCAGCCCCAATCCCCAAAACGGGCGCTCTTACCCATGCGGTACCCACGTACGGGCCTCTGAAAGTTTTTTACGTGTAAGTCGCTAACTCGAGAATCAGAAAAGCTAGAAAGCTGAAATTTTAAGGGGATGTTCCCCGCCCACGTAAGTAAGTCTCAATGAGCTCAAACCCAACTCTCGGGTATGCGTGGTACCCGCGCAAGGGCTCATCAAAATTTTTTTCGGGTAAGTCCCTAACTCGAGAATTTGAAAAGCCAGAAGGTTATAATTTTAAGAGGATATTCCCCGTCCACCTGAGCCTCACTGACCTCAGACCCAGACTCCGGGTATGCGTGGCACCCACGTACGGACCCGCGAATGTTTTTTCTGGTAACTTGACAACTCGGAAGTCTGACAATTTAGAGGACTGCGATTTTAAAAGGATGTTTCCTGACAGTCCTGGTGGCCAGTCTGAAATTCTTTTAGCTAGAAGCCTCTGCCGGAAAAAACATTGTCGTTAGCGACAAAAATCTGCGGAGAATTACACAAAAAACGCATCTTCGCACGGGCAGCTCGTGCATTGGCCAATTATTTCCCACAAGTTCAGACTTTCTTTACTTTTGTTTGCACCTGTCGTGTTGCCTCTTTTTCTTTACTGCTGTCTCCAGTTTTTGCCTCGAGCTCTTGATTTGTGTCCTCAGCCTCCTTTTCTACCTTGTCCCAAAATCCTGCTTCCAGACCGGCATCTGGAGACTCCCACCCAACATCCCCAAGTACGCGATCCAATCACCACCAAACACTGGGTAATGCTACCCAATGCCCGTTGGGAAATTGCCAAATGGCGCCGGCGAGTGACGTTGCAAAATGACGTTGGTAGAGAAGTTAAAGCGCTTTCACAATACATCAGCGGACTGGACCGGGATTAAGTTGCTGCCACTATTTTAGACTGGGAGGAATTCGAGGCGGATGGGAGGGACTCGGACTATCGGCCTGGGAAAAGCTGAGGTGTTGCCTGGAGGCAGGGATTGGAGAAGGGGGGCCGGGAAGTTGGAGGAGGACAGGAGAGGAGGAAGGGGCGGGCGAGGAGAAGATTGTGTTTGTAAGTTCCGGTACCTCATTTCTTGCTTAGCATCGTAAACTTATAATTGAGGGAACTGAGGTTCAGCCAATAGCTTCGCGCACAAATATACCACTACTCAACGTCTTTTGTTCCGATGAGACTTTGGGTTAAAGGAGCAGTGAATTTGTTATTGCAAAATTTTTGATGGAACGGAAAATGCGGAGTAGAGACATACCTGCATGCAATTACCTGTCCACGCCTAACTATTAGTTAGTACCGCCGAAAAGAGAATACCAGCAACACTGGAAAATTTCTTGCCACTTTTCCACACATCACTTGCAAAGGAAGCTCGTCCCCTCCCCCCTCTTTCCACCTCCCTCCATCCTCAACCCTGGCTAATAACGGGCCAGTACCCAGCTCCCGGAACTAGCTGCATGTATACCAGAGCAGAAGTACAGAGACGCAAGAATTGCACTGGGGAACGCAAGCTCGCTCGCGAGTGTTGTCGGTTCGCTAGCGAGTTGTTGCTGTTCGAGAAGAGGTCGAGATGAGCAGCAGGAGGCCGGGGCCTCCCTCCATCGAAGGACTCTACTCGCTGAAGGTAATCATTTTTATGCGTTTTTTGCATCTGTGCAAATGCAAAGACTCACATTGGCGAGAGGTTGTCTGTGTGTGCGTTTATACCGATTTTTCATCTCGAGACCTACAAAAGCTACAGGGCTGAGACTTTCGCAACCTAATCAACAGGCACATGCTGCCTCCCATCCCCAAACTGGGCGTTTTTGTTGTGTTTCGTGCATTTGCGATCTTGCCCATCTCTGCAATCACATCAAAGCTTAGATTTCTCGTGTGTTACTTTGCTCGCAACAGATCAGATGCCTCTAGGTGGTGGACTCGTTGTGAATTCGCATCGTGATGCAATGTGTACAGCTCGCATCTTGCTGGGCCTCGTTTCTCCTCCAAACTGGCATCGGAGTTACGCATCTCCGTCGCGTTGAACCAAGCCACACGCCTTCTCTCACGCTATTGTCTTCTCGACAGCGTTGCCCCAGCTTCGTTGCATTGGTGCACGGCACACATCGCTGCCGAGATGCAAATTTAGGTTACCAGGTACCTACAGGCTTGCTTATTTGGAAGATCTAAATGCCACTTCCAGTGTGTTTTTACTAATTGTCAAAATTCGATTGTGTTTCTCTTCACGGTGCTAGGCCTGCAACGCCAAACAAACTGCATATGTTAACACATTGACGATCTCAGGCCCCCCGCCCTCTTCGAGTTTCCTTGCCAGGGATATTCATTGTTTGCATCTTTAAATTTTCTAAAACACTTAGTACTTGTCATCAGAATGATGTCGTCACTGTGCTGGTTTTGTGCAGTGCGCCGCAGCGCCTTCTGGTGCTCGGTGTGCAACGCATTGAAGGACGGACATGCGAAACGTGGTCACTGATGAATGCAAAGGAGTTGACTGCGTAATGACAAATAAGTACGGAAGCAGTAAGTATGCAGAAAACACGCATGCAGATGCACTGGGAGTAGCTCTCGCTGCCAGATGCTCGTTTATGACACTGAAAAAGCAAAATTTGCCGGGGAGGAGGCGTTGTTGACCTTTAACAACTAGTGACGAGGTATCATTTTGCATACGTATCCATCGTCATGGGTCCTTCCTCCTCCATGCCCCCCTCCCCCCC